TATGGGTCTCAAGTTGGGCTCCAGCAGATGAGGCCCGAATTTTCCTGCCTAGCGGCATATCTGGAGAGATCTGAGAGAGTCTCTCGTCTTCTTGGCTTGGCTTTCATTCTCCTTAGAGGCTGCTTTCTTGTTTTGCTGCATGAGCTATGGCTGCATACAGATCTCCCTGAGCTTAGAGACACAGCACACCTGAGTCTCAGGTTACCTGATACACAATGTCATGTGGCTATGTATAAAATGGTGCAGATAGCTACATTTAAAATCACTTTTAAATTTGATCATGTTAAAACATTTTTAAGCAGAAATGTCCATTCACCCTAACTTATTTTCTTCATTTTTTTCAGAGAGAAAAAAACTCTTCAAGTCTCAGTTTTTCAGTAAATTTAGACTTAATAAGAGTTATCTGTGATATTTAATTTGAAGGGAAATTAACGTCTCGAATCAGTAGCTCCCCTGACATTAGATTTAATGCCGTTACTATTATTCTATAATGTCAAGATACTCATAGAGCCTTAAGAGATTTATTATTCCTAAGAGACAAATCATCAACTATTTTGTTTTTATTTCTAATTTTTTATATATCTGTTTTTGCCAAATATGGCTTGCACAAATCTCAGAAAAATTTATTGTGTATTGTAAAAAATTATTTATGCCTATTATCAGTTTACTTTCAGTGTTTTATTAAGCACACCATTTGAAGATGCACAGCATCACTCTTTCTCACCTTCATCAGACAATATCCTACAAAACTGTTAAAATGATTCTGCGGATAAAATGCGGCTGTTTTTAGCATTGAGGAGACATCTGTATATTTACCTCTGAAATGTTTATTGTAGGTGGTCTCCAGTTTGCTGTTTTCCTGGTTACTGATGTGACTGTGAATCACTGTAGGAACTAAAATGTAAAAGTGAAGTGTGTTATTCTTCTCTAATCTGTGTGCCATACATATATATTAGTGTTTTGTTATCAATAATTGAATAATTATCAAGTGTTCCCTTTTTAATTGTCAAATAACTCACTACTTAACTCTTACAATTAAAGACACCAAATACACAATAATGTTCTTTTTAGCAACATCATATGACCCCTTTAATAGTTTAACTAAAAATGAAAATGTGCTTAAAATGTACTCTCCCGCAAGTCATCCTTGATGTAGATGAGTTTGTTTCTTCATTAGAATAGATTTGGTGAAATTTAGCATTATATCACTTGCTCACCAATGGATCCTCTGCAGTGAATGGGTGCCGTCAGAATGAGAGTCCAAACAACTGATGAAAACATCACAAACATAACACCCCCTGTTTTCCTGTAACACCAAAATCCACCTACATATTTTTTAAAACTGTTTTGGACTGTTTTCGTTTGTAAACAGTGCTTGATGTGTGCATATTTTTCTCCTCATTCAGACAAGATGACTTTTTCACTAGAGTAAGCAATATTATGGATAGAGGACTCGTATTTTAGCTTGAAGCAATGGTTTGAAGTTAAAAATGTCTTGATGGTTTTGTTTATTACAAACATACAGCTTTTTGCTTCACAAGATGTTAATTGATGGACTGGAGTCGTGTGGATTACTTGTGGATTATTGTGACATTTTTATCATCTATTTAGACTCTAATTCTGACGACACTCATTCACTGCAGAGGATCATTGGTGATGCTAAACTTCTCCAAATGTGTTCCAAAGAAGAACCAAACTCATCTACATCTTGGATGACCTGAGGGTGAGTGAATTTTCAACAAATTTTCATTTTTGGGTGAACTATTAAATCTGTTCATTGCGTTTCTAGTCTATTCTTTTGTGTTTACATTATGTCTAGACTGCTGCCAGGGTTGGTTGTCATATCAGTTTCAAACAGTACTTTTTTATGTTTTAAAATGTTTTAACACAGTTTAAAACATTTTAAATGCTACACCATGCAGCTTATTGCACCCATAGCAAGAGTTGTTCCCCAGAAGCTCAAGTTTCAGTTTGGGTGGGCGGTAGTTGTGTCTCATTTCAGTCTGGGTATAGTAGTGGACAGCATGGCTGTGGTTAAAAGGTGTAAAGACTGCATGGTTCTTCATAATTCCTGTGATTTAGACAGAACATAAAAAGCCATCATAATATGACATACAATAATCTTTGGAATTACAAGATTTGATATTAAATAAGATTCAAATGGCTTTGAAATGTATAAACAAATGTCTGTGCAATAATTCCTAAAATTCACCTTGAGGTAATCCAAGAAAATCAGTCCTGTAGGTCGACCTACAGGTGCATCTCAATAAATTAGAATGTCGTGGAAAAGTTCATTTATTTCAGTAATTCAACTCAAATTGTGAAACTCGTGTATTAAAGGGGTCATATGATGCTGCAAAACTACTTCAGTCTGTGTGCATTGAATTTATTTAATACACGAGTTTCACAATTTGAGTTGAATTACTGAAATAAATGAACTTTTCCACGACATTCTAATTTATTGAGATGCACCTGTATACTGGGCACTGAGAGCCTTTTGGATTTCCTTCTCAGTCAACGGGTGCTGAAGAGGGGAACTACCACCAAAATGCTTCATTTGATCTGCTTAATGCCTCCATACCATGAATGCCTTCGTGTTAAAAGAAAGAACAAATATGGTACATTATAACCATCATTTACTAACCCTTATGTTTTTCCAATCCTGTATGACAGGACACAAATATAATGCTACTGGTGTGCTTTTTTGAAGCTTAACAGTCCCAATACACACATTCACACAAGCATTAGTACGAAAAGATCCTTTCAAACTATACATCAACAAGCCAACAAACACAGCAAATCACAAAATGTGCTATTTACCTGGCTTGGGTGTGGGTTGTTCCTTCTGTTTCCTGATGCAGTGGCAGACCTTATGCAAGTAGTCTTTGACACAGGCTTCCAGCAGAAATCTTCACTATACAGTTGCTCCCATCGGATCATCCAGTGTGTATGAATTTCTATAGATATTGCCCGATGTTTTCGGTCTTGTATTTGAAACAAATAAAAAGTTAAGATGAATCCTACCTCTGACATTTGTATCACTTTTCTTCAACAAAAAAAACTCACCTTAAAGTTGGAATAGATGAGATGGGTCTATAGATGACATCTTTAATGTGAGGTCTCATATAGGCCTACTTCCAATCTCTTGTTAACATCTTGATTAAAAAGTACAGTGAAAAAACTAATTTGAATCATACTTAAGTAACACACTGAAAATATTAAAATCACAATAAACTTGTCTAACCATATATTGCCATGGTTGTCTTGACAGATTATCTGCCTCTGCAACTGTTGTCCAAACGATAATAAAGTATCCAGGATCTGCTTATCAGATGTTACGTACTGTTCACCAGGAGCTCGTTTGTACAGATCAGTGCACTGCAAGAAGAGAATCGGACTGCTAGCAATAATCCTGTGCTGACTTTAACTTTTGACGCACCTGTTGTGACGTTCCTGAAATTCTTGCCAAAAGTTTTCACTTATTGATCTGCATCGCTAATGCCTATCTGAGGTTTTCTGTAAGCTGATGTTGTTATAGGAAAAGCACAACAACGGGCGCGCGAGCGAGTGCTAACTGACGCACCGCGGGGGGGCTTTTAGCAGGTATAATGACGCGCATGAACGCACGCAAACCCAAAGACCCGCTGATAGCGTCAAGCGGCCAAAAAGGTGGTAAACGGGCGGCCCACTGAAATCAAGGTTCCACATATGCAACGCAATTTTAAGCAAAATAGCCCTGTACGCAATAAAAAAAAAAACAATAGAAAGTTAAAAAAAATTATGATAATAATAGACCACGAGAGCTGTATTTCTTTTCCCACATGTTCCTTAGTTAAAAGTACTCAAAAAAAAAAAAAGAATCAGAAAAATCCCTTAAGATTTCTCTAAAACTCACAGGAGTTTTAGTTCGATTTTATTAGGGCGTAGCGCCGCTTAGTGGAAAACATTATATGGTGCATTTCAAGATTACCATATATATATAACCTATATATTGCCAAGGTATCACAAAAAAATACATTAGGAACAAATGCAAATGTTATATGCAATATAGTACACATAACACATAACAAGGAAAAGAAAAGCACTAATTAAAAAGAGTAAAATAGCTTGGATATATTGCTCGATTTCTTTTTCAAAGACAATAAAACTGGCTTTTGATAACTTTACTAGCTACGACAAATGTGTTATTTGTTAGGGAGCAATAAAAGATTAATAATAAAGTAGGCCTACTCATTCTTTTCTGTTTTGTTCATTCAGGATTCTTCATTTAATTATAAAGTCCTACATTTCAGGTGATGTTTATTAAACCCTTGTGTTATACTCATTTTTAAAAGAAAAAAAAATCAGTGAATGAATTCCTTAATTTATATTTATTGAATTGGCCACTAGTTTTGTTGAATAGACAACATGGATCAAATTCAGCATTTGCACGATTTGCAAACTATGTTTTAGGCGTGGACTTTTACATGTTTAACTTTTATTTTGTAATGTACGTGTGACATGTGAATATGCAATTAAATTATAAATATTGACAGCGTTGTGCTTGGTGTATCCACCAGAAAATGCTCGAGCGGCGTGCATACTTTTTCTTCACCTAAATGCTATTGAAACGTTCCTTATCTAAATATGTAGAATGACATTTGTTTAATGTACTTTGCAAAACTCACAATTTGTTTTGATATACTTTAAAGGGGTTAAAGCCTTCATTCACGGTCCAGATCCCTCTAAAACCCCGTAATTCACAGCCTGGTAGTAAGTATAACTTACACTCTTCTACTTATTTCGTTCCGAGAGTTATCAACGCGCAGTTGTGCGGTGAAATCCTTGAAATACTATGAATTCAAAGCAAATAGTCGTCATACAAATTGAAACCTTTACTTAAACGACAACGGCGTGCTTGCATATACTATAGTCGGTACCCACCAGAACAAAACGGTGTCTGATACTATTACGCTTGTATCAATGGATGGATTTTCATATTCACGCGCCGTTGGAAAAATATGACGTTTCGCCGACGAACAGCCAACCACACCTCTGCTCTCGTAGGGGCTATAGTGAGCCGACAGCCAATCACAGGCGCTCAAGACTTGGCGGTAGCCAATAGGATTCCTGACTGTATACTGTGACTCTCGTGAGCGGAGGGTTCTGCACGCACTTGGAAGAGCGCGCGTCGGTGTTATTGTACTTCAAAGCCCCCTTATCTAGGCATCCACAGAGGCTGCAGATAGAGAAGGCTGGTGAGTTTTACCATAATATGCTTGTCAAGGCCTTAACTATTTTTCAAAAAACGTCGTATATTACAACACATTTTCCCTTGGTAGTTGCGTATTTGGGGAAAGCAGCGCGACCAATCTTTGTCAGAATCTATTCGCCAGTCATTCAGTCAGTGCGCTTAGTTACGTTACATAGTGAAATGTCCTGACTGAAAAAATCTTCTGAAGATAAAACTTGGTTGCTTTTTCCTTGTGAAATGACAGTATTCTATTAGTCTTTAATGGGATGGGCTGCAATATTTGTCAGGTAGCCATCCCAGCTAAAGCAGTTAGGTTTTTGGGGTCTCAGTTAAAGCTGTTATTGTGTGAACCAGTGACGTGCGTGGCATGGTCACATACAGACTAAAATAACACCTCGAATAGATTTACCAGTCCCGAGGGAATGTGCTAGTCATTTTGTGCATTTTTCCGCTCTGGTCATTCAGAACGGGACGTTTTGCGGCCGTGTTCAGTAATATAATATGGCTGGCTTGCGGAGTGCGTTTGCCTATGAGTGGCGGGGGATGGAGACGGACGGGGTGTAAACACCATTCAACTCAACTAATAAAATAAAATTCAGCCAAGCTCGTTTGCACTGCTTTTTAAACTCGTACGAAAACCCGAGGGTCTGTTTAATGAACGCTGGTGTTTTCCAAGTAAAAGCGCGCAAGGAAGAGGGTTTACAATTATATTTATATTGTTTCCCACCGCCGGTGTTGTGTGTGTATGCGGCTCAGACTGGCAGACATAAAGGGAGAGAGTGAGGAAGCCATGTTGGCTCTGCTAGCTGTGCTCATGTTGAACGGCGGACTTACGAGAGCGAAACTCCCATTGCATAGAGCTTATAGTTACAGACACTGTGTCCATACAGAGCAACTTCTTCCATAGGGGAGGCGATAATATCGGAAAGCGACGGGCCAGGGGCGAGAAACGGACGAAGTGCGGTGATTTTGGGTCCTCGAAATTACCCAGGAATGTGGGAGGAGGCAATTGATGGGGACTTTCTCTCATGAAGACGGCTTTTTCAAAATGGAAGAAGAAATATTATTGTTGCACCGTTTAGGCATTTTAAGGCGGTCACTATGTAATAAACCTGCCCGCTCTTGGGCGATGCTTCTGTGAATGTTCCGTTAATGTAAAATACACATAAAGGGGGAAAAAAATTGGGAATGAATATTAATCTATTAAATATGTGTTTTTATTCACGAAATGGAGGATGTCCTTGTCTTTCACCGTGAACTTGAGGCGGTCTTTGTGCATCTCCCTGTCCATATCAATAATGTGATTTCACTTCACATTTTATCATGCTGATTTTTTTCCTTTTAGAGTCAATATTCCCCTCACAGTACATAATAATGATATATAGAAGATAAAAAATAAACTGAAATATTTAAATGTATGTGTATGTGTGCAGAATTACAGTGATTACCACTGGGGTGGGTTGCACCAATAAGGATTCATCTTAAATCTAGATTAAATCAAGGTTTATCTAGTAATTCTGTTGCACCAAACTTTAAACCTTGTTTAAAAATAAGCAGGTTTACATTTAAACCATCATCTCGATCCTGGATTTAATTTATATTTAAGATAGATTAACTTTAATCCTGTTGCTCCATAACTTTAAACTCAGATTTAAATCTCAATTAGGGATTAATTTTAAATTTACAGGTGAGGAGGTTTAAATGAAATAAAGTGCACATACAGTTACAATTATGTGGCTGATTGAACAAAGAAAACAATAGAGGGTGTGTCGTGAGGTGTTTATCACAAATAAAAATTAAAATTAAAGCGCACTGAGCCGGCAGATTGTGAGGGTCTTGGTAGCCTGTAGTAAACTTGTGTCTGCTATCGAGTCCGGTATGTGAATACGTCACGCATCTCGGTGCATCTCGGCGTACGACAAAGAAAACAGAAATATACTGTAGCCTAAGATTGTGAGGGTTTTGGTAAGCCATAGTAAACTTGCGTCTGCTATCGAGTCCGGGATGTGAATACGTCAATCATCTCGGTGCATCCCGGCGTAAAACAAAGAAAAGAAAACAGAAATAGGTCTATACTGTATAGCAGTGGTCGCCAACCCGTCGATCGCGATCTTTATCAGTCCCAGTAGATCCCCCCAAAAAAGTAAAATAAGTACAAACATGCATTACATTTATGGGGTTATATGTATCACTGAAGGGAACTGTCTTGAGAAAAGTTTCGATGGCAATGGCATTTTCTTCTTCTCCGTATAAAGCGCAGCTCTGCTTTGTTTACAGCTTGCGGTCGGTTCATAAGCAGTGTTGCCAATTCCGCGGTTTTCCCTACTTTAACACTGTTGCCGCGGGTTGTTGTTCATGTCCGCGGGTTGAAGCGACCCCAATAACGTGATATTTAGTCCCTGGAATGTGAATTTTACTGGAAGATCCCCGCCCAAGCAAGATAAGCTTCGCTATGAGAGAGAAATGAAGAACTACATTCCACCGAAGGGTGAGAAGCAGAGGCGATTTAAAGATCCCAATGCTCCCAAGAGACCACCGTATGTTCACGCTGTGCACTCCTATTGCAAAGTAACATTTTTCAAGATGGTTTGTTTTAATGCATGTTTTTCCCCTCCCAAGGTCAACATTCTTCATTTTCTGTGGTGACTACCGCCCTAAGATTAAGGGGGAGAACCCAGGTCTGTCCATCGGAGACATTGCCAAGAAGCTTGGAGAAATGTGGAATAGCTCATCGGCTGAGGTGAAGCAGCCCTATGAGAAGAAAGCAGCAAAGCTTAAGGAGAAGTACGACAAGGTAAAGTTTCTTTTGTCTTTTTTTTCCTGAATTGTCTTCAGTATTCTCAAACGTGCTACATTGTGGATGCATCCTGATCAATTTGTTAATGTTTTTGTCTTCTGTAGGATATTGCCCTATACCGCACAAAGGGAATTGCAGGCTTGTCCAAAAAAGATGGTGGGGAGGATGATGATGAGGATGAAAATGAAGAAGAGGAGGAGGAGGAGGAAGAAGATGATGAGGAGGAGGATGAGTAGATTAGCTACTGATGTAGCCTAGGTTCATGTTCATGCCATAAACCCAATTGTACACGAATCACATCTTCAAACGTAATACAGCAGAAGCAAGAATTGTTAGGCTGTGTATATGCTACGTTTTTAAGATTTAAGTACAGTGTTATTCTCCTTTTGTAAAGTTAACACTATGTGTCTTCAGTCTTCAGATTTTTTTAAATCTTTGTTTTCGTTAGTGGTAGTTCTTGCCAGGAACAGTTTAAGGTTTAATTATATGAATTGAACTGTTTCTCTGAAGGTGCATAGCACAGTTATCTGGTTTATGTAGATCTGTAGTGCACTATCATATTAGTTTTTTTAAATATTTTTCGTATTTGCCGTCATAAGGTCCTTTAACTGTACTTTGAATACCACTCTAATTACAAGAATGCAGCTTTGTTTGGACCTTCAAGAATGTGTCTGAAGTAAACATTTCTTTTTTTAGAAAACTGTCCTGTTTTTTTCTTCTGTAGCTACTGTATTGACGTGATTGCACAAAATATACTTAATATCTGCAGTGACTGTATCAATGATGAGCGATTCTTCCTCATCTAAGAAGTGTAATCTTTCCATGTATGCGTTGTACTATGAACTGGTTCATCAATATTGCAATATCAATTAAGAAATGATCTGCATCAGCCAATTAAACATTGTAGCATTTTTGCGAAATTTTTGAAGTATCTAGTTATTATGTGCAATATAGATACATTTCAGAATGTTGCTTCACACAAAGATCTGCAACGTTGTTGCATTAAGTTGTGCTCTGACATACGAATTAATGCTGTGTAATGGAGCATGTTATCAAAAAATAATGTTTTTATCTCTTTCACTCTTATCAGACAGCATAAACGTAACCTGAAAATCATAATGTTTTGGTTAATGACTTGAAATAACCACTAGTGACTGAAATTAATGTATATTATGGAATATGTAAATAGACCCTGTGGCCTTGATGTGTAACTGCTTTGTTTACTATTACTACACACCCATCGATGATGTCATCTTATTCAGGTTTCATCTTGATGTCCTCTGCAAGGACTAATACTGCAAGGAAGGACAAAATAAAAATGGCAGTGTGTTCTAAAGCCCCTATTTAAATCATTGTAACTGCAGTTTTGTGGTTAAATGACTTCTGAAATGTATGCTTGTAAAATCATTTTTTCCTGTGGATGGTACTCCCCTAGTTATGCTTGGAGACTTCAACATCCACCTAGATAAACCTCAGGCTGCAGACTTCCACATCTGTTGATATAATGATTATTCAAGATTAAAGGGAAACCACAAGTCCACAATAGAAAAGCTCTTAATCTTCATATATGTCATAACTCAAATTGTAAACCAAGCAGTACGACATAATTTACAATTAATTACTTGACCTGAACGCAAATAGGCCTACCTGGAAAATGGAAAAAAACGCCTCAAGGCTAGAAAAATAAGGCAGGCTGTTTCTAGATCCGCCAGAGGGCGCTTAAGGGCTTGCAGTTGATAGTTAATTTAAACCCTAATCAGTTTGAATCATGTGGTTAATGGAGCCTTTTGATTGCAATTGACAAAGCAGTGAAGCAAAGAAAGTGCCTCTGGATTTTAAATTAGATTTGAAACTACTTTAAAGAAAACATCTTGGGCTTTAAAGACACTTTAAAAATGTATGGTTGGGAATCCACACCATTTTGCAATGCATTTTTATTTTCATATTTTAAAGCTTTTAACATGTCTAAAAAGACATGTTTGATTTGTGCCTTGCTTGCTGTAGGCTATATTCACTTAGCAGAAAGACACCAGCTTTTGCTTTGCTGAATGCACAAACATTTCTGTAACCAAATTTGTATTGGATTCTTTAAAGCTGCACTAGGTACTTTTGCTTATTATAAATAAACGTATGTACACAAACCAATTAATAGCACTTTTGAAAAAAGAAGAAAAAAAAAAGCATTGTAATAATGTGCAATCTAGACTTCTCTCTTAAACAAAAATATATTTTATTCTACATGGAGCGGGTTGCACCCTTCATAGGCTCCACATCGTTGACGTCATGACCAGCTGAGAGGCTGCTGCAACTATTATTACATTTATTATAGGGTCTTATTATCATATTTGTATGAAAGCACCTGTCTGACATATAAAGAAATAAACCAAATAATATAACAAAGACAAAAGACTTGCTTTAGAAACAATAGAGCCAGAGTGAGCAGCAAAGGCCCTGCTGAAGTGATGAAATAAACCGCGATGACACACTAGGCTACTCATCATGAATGATGCCTAGCACTCATTTGGCCGCAGTGACACCAACAAACAATGCAGGACCAATTTGTTTGTACTGAACACAATGAAGAAAAACAAAAGATAAACAGGCAGTTCGTCGCGAAGCTGTTTCAAAGAAATTTCATGCATTCAGGCCAACAGGTGTCACTATCCACCTTATTTCCATTTGTACATTTGGTGTCTCATCCGCTTCCAGCTATTTTTAGCTGTACAAAACAGCTCGTTTTGCTGTTTGATCTTAATGTCCTCATATGAGGACACCGGGACTAAAAGCATGTTTATTACACATTTTGGGAGACACAACAAATGAACAGGGAAAGAAATTATATTTCAATATTCCTATATGAAATATTATATATTATTATGAAAATCTTGTCAATTATTACTCCCATTATTACACTTCTTTTTTCATTACATGTTGCCCCCAAAAACACATTAATATGCAAATTAGATTTAGTTTATAGATACATTATATATAATGAGAAAACCTGTTTATGGCCATTTTACACACATTTTGCATTTAAAAAAAATGGTATATCAAATCATTCTGTTATAACATAGTTGAGAATTATTTTTATACAAAGTTTGGTAAAAAAAAAAAAAAAATCCTGAAAACTAAAAATGTATTGGTGATTTTTTTAAAAATCAATTGTTTTTGCCTATGCATGTTCATTCATGTCTTTTTTTTCCCCCGATGTCCTCTACCAAGGACGTATAGCATAACTTATGCATGAAATATCATTTTTTATTTTTTATTTATTTTTAATGCTCTAAATGTAATGACATGAAAAAAAAAAAAAATCCTAAAATGTTTTGCGGGGTCTCAAGAGGTTAATTATAAACACACTGGTTTGTTTTTCCGTTTACTGCACGTTGTTATTCTTCTAGTTATTTCCCTACAGCGGCTAATGACCGGAAGTCTCGCACACATTCACAGAAAACGGCATACTTCCGCGTTGAAAAATAAGGTGGATAGGTTCTAAAACCACTGGTACTATTGAAACGAATTAAAAACGTACAACGCACTCAAGCCTTTTGTTAACTGATTTACTCGACTGTAGGCTACATATATAAAATACAATAGGATAACAACTATTACAAACCAGTCTGGAAGTATTTCATTCAGAGTTGCTTCAAGATTAAAATTCCCTCAGTTGTTCTTTTCTTTTATTGTAGTGTTCAACGGTTGTCTGGTGGCTCTTCTTTTACAGCTTCTCTCCATTCATTCACCTTTTGGGCAAGTGCCATGCTGGCATCCTCTGAATTCAAATGGAGAAAGAATGAGGCTTGGCTGCCATGTGAGAGGCATTAAATGTGGACAGACCGATATAGCATCAAGCCACTGGAAGACCAGAGATGACTTGTAAACTCAACTGGAGTCACAACTTAATACTCAAGTTAGATAAAATAGATAGACATGAACTGTCATAAAATATCTCATGTAGCCTACCAGAGAAACTATACATTTTGTTTGCCAATAATTATAAGTCATTATTAGTTTGTTAACGTTACCTGCGCGTTTTGGCGTTACACTTGGAGAAGCAGTGTATCAGGAAGAGCCAATAAAATCGTCACAGCACAGGAGGACAATACCAGCCAAACACACACACGCCCACCGCCCACCACTGCACACTGGACAGAGAGATGGTACACATAAAGAACCAGTGCATCTTCAAATATGTGTTATGTCCGAGAAAAGTTCTTATTCGTGTAGAGAGGTAAATGGACACGAGCAAAGATGAACCAGTTTGGATTAATACATCTCTGTATATTTCTCATGCACGCTACGGTGAGTATTTTTTTGTACAAATAAATGTTTTTAATGTTTTTGTGAAAGACTTTTGTGACAGTGCTCAAGATTTGTTTCCCTAATATCATGACATGCTTGATAAAAAAAAAAATGTCAGCACCTTCATTCAGTATACAATATTAATTACACATTTTAAATATATAATACAAATATTTAATATTTAATTAAATATATATGAATAATCATATATATGTTCATATGATTCATGTAGCCTATTTATATTACTTATATTTATCTTTATTACATATTTAATATAAATAATTAGAATTTAATGCATTTAAATGTGTGTGTGTGTGTCATATATTATATATTATAATTAATTACAATGTAAATATAAATAAACAAGTATGAGTTACTATTGTAAGCTGACCAATACAAGAAATCGAAAAACACCTTTTTTATTTAAAAATAAATTGTAATGAAGTGAAAGTTTATGGTGCGTTTAGCTGAACAGGATTAGAACATTCCGTTTTATTCCCTGAGCCTCTCTGTGGATACCAGACTGTCCAGATCTAAGTTGACATTTTAGAGCTTAACAAAAGCAGGTACCTGGGGAACCCAAATAAAGACACATATTCAGGTTGGCGTGGGATACTGTGGTAAGGAGAGCTTTCAAAGCACAGACCTTACACAAATCAAGGTGTACTGTTGCCGCTTTTAGAAAAGGTCTCTCACAAAAGAGCCCTTTCCTGCATGTCATGTGGGATTTAATGGCTGAAACTGCTCCATGTTTCTTGCCCCACACCTTTGCTATGATATGCTATGATCCTAGCAGTGGCTAATTTAATTTATAAGTAAAGATTTTCTTCTTTTGTTCACACAGATTTTCTTCTATGGTGTTTGCTCTAACAGTTCACCACGGACACAGTGGGATAATAGTAATGAAAAGAAGTGGTTCAACATCTCAGCTCTGCCATCTACAAGCAAATCAGGCTTAGCTCCACTTCATAGTAGAAGGTTTACACAATTATCCTTTTCCAAATCTGTATTTTCATTTGAAGTGAGGGAAGACACACCACCTGGTGAGCATTTCTTTTTTTATATTATATTATTTCTGTGTTGTCTAAACTTTCTTGTGGGCACTTTGTTGGATTAAAGCATTTGCTAAAATACTTCAATTCAGCCTTGTCTGTCGCCTTCATAGGGACAATTGTGGGACATGTGGAGGCAGTATATAGTGAGGAGAATGAAACCTCAGTGTACTCTGTTCAGGAGGATGATGGTGATGGTTTTTTCCTTCTCAATCCACATTCTGGCGAATTCCTCCTGTCCCGTGCTCTGGATTTTGAGATGGAGTGCTACTACATCCTGACTGCAGCAGCTCAGCAGGG